GCTTTTTCAAAATCGCATTATTATCAATGGAACTATACCCCTATATTAGGGTTAGGGGTGTGCACCAGGGTAGGGTTAGGGTTAGGAAAACGAGGTGCCCTGGCAGGATTTTGAGGGTTGCAATGCGTTTAGAATGGGCAGAATGGATGAGCAGTGCAGAAAAAGCGACGCAGGGAGGGCCTTTTCAAAATCCTTGAGCTGCCTCACCCCACCCTTCGCTTCAGCATAATTCCTCATTTGCTGTGGCTGCATCTACCATTCTGAAGCAAAACCAGCAAGACTTGGGTGAGCAGGGCTTGCTTTTCCTACCAATATGCCTCATGTAGCCCTAATACATTTTTACCGAGAGTGCCCGAAAGGGGCATGCCTCTCTGGGTCATTGTTCCATCTCAAAATAGGATGCTTTAGATTGCACAAGGTACCCCAGAAGATTTCGGGCAGGAGCCTCGGAGCTAGCTTAGGTGCACCTTTCTTCCTCTTCTCAAATGTGGAAGTCCCACTAAGTCCCCATCTAGCACCTCAGATTTCACCTGTCCCTGCCAATATATTTGTAAGTTTCAGTCATTGCCCTGAGGACTAGAATCATGCTTAATTCTCAGTAATACTCAAGCTTCCCAAGATGCCAAATTTAATAAAATATTACAATAAACCAGCAGTGTAAGCCATTACCTGGAAGGCCTCCTCATCTGCTCTGATCTCATCACTGATTTCCCTGGAAGGCAATTAAACATTGTCAAGGAGTTTCTAATGAGTCATGCTGACTGGGGATGGTGGGAGTTGTGGTACAACCCATCTGAAGGGGGAGGAAGGCTGCTCAGAGACATGGTAGGACCAATGTATTTAGGCCTTTCTAGAAACCACTGGCTCACTCACAAGTGCTGATGCTTCTTCTCTGTGAAGATGCGAAGGGTGAAGCCAAACTCATCCACCTTGGAGCTGGTGGAGCCAGGGACGATCAAGTAATCCGCAGGGGGCAGGACAAAGCGCTTCGTGACGTCCCTCTTGGTCTCCTTGAATGTGCCAACCTTCTTGAGTTGAGGAAGCAGTTTCTTTCTTTGGGACGGGTCTTTCGTTTGCAGATACTGGGGAAGTGAAAGATGCAATCAGTGAAGCTGCACTGCAGAACCCTCTCTTGGCTGCCCTCTACAATGTGCAAGCCAGCAACAAAATTCAGCCCTTATTATGCCATGAGGGCTAGGAGCATGGAAGAACCAAGAGAGGCTTCCTGGCCTGGATGGAGCGACTTTGAGGGAAAGCTGCTGGGGCGAAATGCAGCCTCTCCCCCCGACTGCGTGCTTTGGTCCAGGAGTCCACGGCTCCTCTCAGCAAAACGGGAGATGCCAGGGGAGGCAAGTTCGCCGGGCCAGCTTGCCCTGCTTTGAAGTGGGCAAAAATGCCCGTTGCAAAGCACAGCTAAGCAGTGCAATTCGCCTCCGCAGGATGGGACAGCGGGCAAGCATTTGGGTGGCCTCAACGGGGGACTGGCCAAACCCATGGAGGGGGAGGCTCTCCGTGGTAAACGGCCCTGATCCGGGGTGGTACGTGTATGTACACTACTTACTGGGGAACATGGGCGGGAGGGGCAGTTGCATGCAGGGAAATGCCGGCAGCTGTCAGATGCTGGCCCGGGATGCCCCTTCTAACTCGCTCCGTTTCTATGTTTTTCCAGGCAGAAGCAGCTAAGCCACCAGTGCTGGCTTGTTTATGGTAACACAGAACTTCTCCTCTGCATTCGGCTTGCAATCAGCCACTCGATGGAAGGGTTTGGATTCCTTACGGGATTAAAATCAGCTCCTCGAACATGCGTTTTCCCCATTCTCCCTGCCCTTGGCCACCCACCCTCCTTCCTTTCCCCTTCTGCATGTTCCATTACACAACCACACATGGGATCGCCGAATCGCAAGCCTCTACGAACTTCACAGTTGAGTTCATTCTGCAATTTCCAGATAATACCGCATGTTCTTTGCTCTAGAAAATCTGCAGAAATGCACGGAAAGCTCAGAAGAGGCCTGGAGGAAGGCGGCATCAGGTAAAGCTTCCACAGGCCACGAAGAGCGAAGAACCGTGAACACACGGCACTTCCCCAAGCTGAGGAGCCCGCGGGCTTAACAGAAACTGTGCCTGGGCGGTTGCTGTCATGGCAGAATTGGGGGCCACACTGCGCTGGGGGAGGTTCTGCGATGGAAGCGAAGCCGGCTGTGGGCAGTGCTGGCCGGCCAGCGCCGATGCCGTCACCATCTGCAGAGCATTTCTGAGCATGAAAAATGTTTTCTTTAAAGCAGGGAAAGGGCGAGTGACCAGCGGAGGACTGTTACCTCTTTGGATGCCTGCAAGACAAAAACAGAGGGAGCCAGCATGAAGTCCGGCCGCAGAGACGTTCGAGCACCATGTTTGCTGAGCAGTCCCTGCGCCGACCGTGTTTCCCCCAAAAGGAGACCAGGTCTTATATTAATTTTTGCTTCAGAAGATGCATTAGGGCTTATTTTCAGGTGACGTCTTATTTTTTCATGTACAACAATCTATATTTATTCATTTACTCATGCACAAAAATCTACATTTATTCAAATACAGTCAGGTCATCCTCTTCTGGAACATCATCATAGCTCTCCAGACCCCGAATTGTGTTAGACCATCTGTCTGGCTGACAATTTTAACTGGGGCTTATTTTGGGGGTAGGGCTTATATTACAAGCATCCTGAAAAATCATGCTGGGGCTTACTTTCTGGTTAGGTCTTATTTTCGGGGAAACGGGGTATCTCTGGGCAAGCGTGGGAAAGACCCTGCATGGAAGGGCTGCTGCCAGGAGCCTTGTGCCCCCCAGATGTCTTGGACTACAGCCTCATTGGTCCTGGACCAAGTCAGGGATTATGGGAGTTGTAGTCCAAAGCATCAGGGTGGCATCACGTCTGATGCCCACTCTGGTGCTCGCTAGTCAGGGATAACTCGGAGGCTGCTCTTCCCTCTGAAGGTTCCCATTTAGCATTTGGCTTGCACGGCTTGCAAACAGAGCCAAGTCCTGCGTCGAGCGAGGCATGCAGCCAGCCCAAACGCGCCAAGTGCAGGTGGGCACCGCACCCCGCTGAGTCTGGCCCCGGATGGGCTGGGGGGAGCCACGTGGCTACCTGCAGCGGAGGGTCCTGAGGGACGGCCTACCTGAAAGATGTCATAGCAGATGCTCAGGTTTTTGCTAAGCTCCCCTTTCTCATTCATTTCCCGCGAGCCCTTCTGCATCAGGGAGACAAGGAGGGTACAGGTGGGTTCCCACTGCTGGCCCTCCTTTGGGAGCTTCTTCTTCCGGGGTAAGTTGTCCGGCTCCAGGAACAAAATGAGGAACTGTGGATTTGTCTGGACTTCACCTGCAAAGTAAGGAAAATGGGGCGAGGGTACAAACCCAAGAAGCAGGCCTCGGAGCACACCGTTGAGCGCACGTGCGCGCCGTCTTGGGACAGGATCGTTCCCAATCCAGCCTTCTCCCACCCGGCGCTCCCAGGGTGTGGTAGCACAATGACAAGGGGGGGGGTCTGACACCCCCTGCTGGTCGGGCTCCAGGTGCGGGAAGCCCGGCCCAAGCAGCAACGGGCCATCCTGCCTCCATGACCTGCCTGTTATTCCTTTTTTTTTTTTAATAAATAAGTTTTATCATTATTTTCTACTAACTAACAAATCTACCAAAAAGAAACTAAAAATCATCAGTCATCAAAAACATCAGACCTACTGGGTCAGCCCCCCGTACTTTTTCTTTTTATGATAATCCATAAACATATTTAAATGCAGTGCTTTTTTTGTCATAGAACGCACCGGAATGGAGTTCCGGCACCGCTTTTTGACAGATTTTCCCAGGTTTTAAAAATAACGTTTGAAAATTTGATGTTTGGTCTTCGTGGATTCAAATCGCCCTGTCAAGCGTAGCAGGTCGGCGGCAAAATCATTAAAACGGTGCATGCGGGCTGCTTGCGTGTCGAATCTGGTGCATGCGCACTTCGTCCGCGCTGGATGTGATGGCGCTGCTCGGCTTGTGACTGGTCGTGTGGTCGCGCGCTGAGTGCTTACTGTGGGTGGCAACTGTTACGTTTTGTTACACAACTGACGTGTGTGGGTGTGTGTACAGTGATTGACTATGTGCAAAAGGTAAATAATTTCATGAGCTCTGGCACCTTTTTTCTTACAAAAAAAGCACGGTTTAGATCTATGCATAGTCCCATTTCTCTAGCCAATAATAAAAGGAATTCCAAGTTTGATAGAAGTCTGTATCTTCTTTCTCCTTCAGAGACAGTGTCAATCTGTCCATTTCAGCACAGTCCAAGATCTCTTTAAAAATCAGTTTGTCGGTAGGTGGTTCTTCAATTTCCAATGTTGGGCAAACCTACCCATTATTCCTGTTCTGAGTAGAGGGTCCTTGATTTACTGGGACCTCCACCTCAGTAGCCCTTTCAGGCCCTTCTGCCAAACTCTCCTCTCCCCTAGCCCTGGTCCACAGCCTCCTTTATCAACACTCTTCCAGCCAACCCACAGGCATCCAGCCCAGATCTTACCAGGGGTGCCATCTTCATCACTGCCAGCGAGGGCTTTTTTCCACGTCCCCTGGAAGCAGCTGCTGCTCCAGCGAAAGGGAGCAAATTCCTCCACTGCAGAGTCAGCACTGAAGTGGCAAATCTCCAGGATATCAAAACAGTCTACGAAATCTTCCAGCTGCATCCTGAATAGCCAGGGTAAAGCAGAAAACAGAACACCCTCATTATCAGTTCGGGGCTGAGGGGCATCTGTCTATTTTTAAACTTCTTCTAGGTATTCATACCCAGCTTCCTTCAACCCCATTCCCTGGGAAGGCTTACAAAGTTACAAAACCAAACAACATAATTGGACCAGCTGCCCATTCAGAGCTTGCTGGCCCTATTATTGATACACCAGAATTAATGGCGGTATTGAAAACTCCTTCATGCAAGCTGCCTTCTTCCAGAAATGAGAATTTGCTCTCGTTTCAGGATGCCCCCAAAGTGGTAAATTGCTTTTGTGAAAGCAGGGGGAGCCCACCTGAGCAATGGAATTACAGGGCCTAAAAGAATCAGCTGTGGGGCATAACCCCCCATTTGACTTCTGCCAGAGCTTCTCCGGCCTGGTACAGATGCAAAATTCTCCAATGCCAACCGAGGCAGAATCTCTGTGGCCCCAAAAGGCAACGCCCTCCTGAGCACCTGTGGCGTGTTTGCTCCCACTGGCCAAAAGCTTCCGATCTGCCTTACCAGAAGACCCCGTCATTCTTTTTCTCACACAGCGTCTTTTGGAATTCTTCATCTATGGAGGACCACATGTTTGAACTGAAACCAAAAAGAAAAGACAGGTACGGTCAAAATGTGGTGGCAACTTTGAGATGCCTCTACTTGGAGGTGTGGAATTTGTCCCCCACCCTAGCTTTTCTTCTAAAAATTAGGAGACATACCCTAAATGCATTTATCTATTGGTAACGTTCATGAAATGAATCCTGAGCTGATGAGAAGCCATTAAGAAGCCTAGCCCACCCCCAACTCAGCCAGCACAGAAACAGTTGGACCAGTCACTTCTCCAATAGCAGAAATGGACCGGGAGAGGGGGAGGGATAAAGGGGCAGGGAGGGGAGAAGGCAAGGGGCATCTACCTGTGCCCATTCCTAAAGCCCCCACCCCGGTTCCTTCCCTCCCATTCCCAATGGTGTATCTCAATGGCTGAAAACGGAATCTGCCAGATGCCCTGGTTTCAGCTTCCCAGACTCCAGTCCGAGATTGACTCCGATTCCAGCCCCTTTTACGGTACCTTCCCCCCACATTCTGACCACAACCAGCTTGGGCGTACTCACCCGTAACCCCAGGGCCCTTTCCAGTCCATTTTACCCCAGGGATTTCTCAGCTGCAAGAGTTTCACTTTCTTGTCTTTCAGGAGGATCTAGGAATGAAAATACAAAGGGTGTGATTGCATGAAGAGAGCCAGCATGTGCATTCAAAAGACAAGATGCAAAAGAGGAACAATTTCTCTGCATTTTTAACTGCTGTGTGCAAAAAAAGCAATTTACCCATTTCATTCTGAAATGGTTTTCATCGAAGCTTTTGCTACAAGAAAAATAATGACCGATGAATCCATCCTCTTGTTCTTCCTTTCACTCAGTTCTCCTTTTTACCTGTCCTACATATCTTTTAAATTCTGTTTTATATTTCTGCTAAAAAATTGTGAGCCTGCATGGAGCTTTTTCGAAGACCTGTTATACGCTGGGCCACAAGAAGCAAATGCGGAGCATCCTGAAGCCCATTTCAAGAACTATGTAAACAAACTCCCTCAAACTGCATGCCATAGTTAATACAGGTCTGTAGGTGGAAGTAATGTTGCCCCCCTTCCTGTCCATTTATAATGGACACCAATCATTTCAGCCTGAGGATGTGAATGGGATTCTTAGAAAGGTGAAGTCTATCACTTGTGTGTGGGACCCTTTCTGTGCTGACTTCTGGATGTGGTTGCTGGGGAAGGTCTGTCTAGATAAATAGGGCATGGAACACTGGGGTTCTAAGCCACCCATTTTGCTGATGATACTGAACTTCAATTCTTTTTTCGCTCCAAATCCAAGGAAGTTGTTCTAGTTCTAAACTGGTGTCTGATGTCAGCAATTGTCTGGATGAGGCCGAACAAATTGAAGCTCAACCCAGACAAAACAGAGATGCTCTTGGTTAGTCAAAGAGGCCGATCAGGGAATGCGAATTCAAGCTGCACCAGACTGGGTTCTGTTCACACTGAAGACAGGCCTCCAGTTCACATGCACCCCTGGACACTGCAGGAATTCTGGGTACCTATGGTGGCCATTTTGTTTTGCTAAAAAAGGAACAAAGCCAGCCCAAAACATGCAGAGAGCTGACTGCCAAGATGATGGTGAATATTCCTGGGTTTCGTTGCGCTGGCTGGCCTTGTTGGCTGGAAGCAACAGCATCTGGACAGGAACGTCTCGAGGCAAAATGGAGCAGAGCTTTGGCAGAAATCCGAAATATGCAGAAAAGGGATTTTTTTTAATAGGGACGGGCAAGACATTCCTTCAACTTGCATTTGACCTCATTGCTTGCTTTTGATCTACTGCATGAACTGAAATTCAGTCATCCCTCAAAATGCTGCTCTTGGGGTTCATCGTTAACACGTCCCACAAGCCTTCCTCCCCGGCCTTGGCTTGTCCTGCATCTTGTTTTCCTGACTGACACTTGCTCCATGAAAGAAATTAGGAGAGTAAGTACTCGGAGGAGGGCTTTCTCTGCAGTGGCGCCCAACTTATGGAATTCACTCCCCAAAGAGGTCCGCCTGGCACCGTCGTTACTGGTTTTTCGGCGCCAGGTAAAGACCTTTTTATTTAAACATCATCTTAATTGTTAAAACATATGATCTGGCCAGGGCAACTTCTTCTTCCTTCTCTTTTCTCCTCCTATATTCTTTATTTACTTATTTTATACTGTTAATTTTAATTTTATATTATTGTATCTCAGTGTATTTTTTGTATTTTTGTATTTAGTGGTAATTTATTATGTTCTATTTTATTTCAATGTATCTTATTGTGTTGTAAGCTGCCCCGAGGCTTCGGCAAGGGGCGGCATAGAAATGCTATAATAATAATAATAATAATAATAATAATAATAATAATAATAATAATAATAGACTCACCTTGTGCAAATCTGTGATGGTATAGACATGGTTCACAATCAGCCCCTTGGCCTGAAGCTTCTTGTTTTGTTCTTCCGTCTTATGCTAGAAGCATCCCAAAGAGAGAAGCACAGTCAGATCCATTTGGGCTTGCGACGCCCCGGCGCCCGAGAATCCACATCCACTCAAGCTGCGTCAATCCATCAGCTGCTCAGTCAATCATATTCCCAAAGCTCTGATGGATCTCTCACTCAAAGCCCAGACAGATAGCTTGGACTATCTGCCTTCCCCTCAGTTGATCCCCCCGCAGAGGTGAGCACACCTGCCCACCTGGCATCCTGCTCGCATGTGGACATGCCCCCCCCCCCATATGGCCTATGCGCGTGAAATCCAACATAATGAAGCAAGGGAGGCAGAGCCCCAGCTCCCAGGCAGCCAATGGTTTATGGGGGAACTTCCCTGCTAAATAGGGACAAGAGGTAACTATGGTGGTACAGATCTGATAATGCAAAGCAAAACTCTTGGCTTCCCTCACCCAGGGAGAAATCCGCCGGCAGACCCATTAAGGGCCAGAGGAAAAGGAGTTTCAAGGTCCTACGGAAGGTGGAGCAGTTGGGGTGCTAGCCTAGGGATCACATGGGGCATTTAACCATTGCACTGCCCTGAAAGGCCTCTGCCGCTTCAGCTCCCTCCCCATCTTTCTTTCCCTCCCTCTCAGCAACTGCCTGCTTCCTTGGTCCAGCGGCTGGGAAGAAAGCTGAGCACCAAGAAGAGCCATCAGGCCTGGGATGCTTTGGAAGAACAGGGCCCCTGCGCCGAATTCAAGGCAAAGGGGCTGCTGCAGAAGCGTACCAGGATGGTTCCTCCCATCAGAGAGCCCCTCTTGTATGCCATCCGAATGTTCTTGAAGAGCCCGGGCTGAGCCTCCTTCAGATTTAGTTTCTCCACAATCCCTCCTGTTAAGTCCACGAAGGACTCGGTCAGGAATCCACCCCAGATAGCTGCATAGGAGCCGTTCAGTCTTTTCAGGAAAGGAAAGAAACAGGGGAACAACATAGATTAGAGGCAACTTGCAAACGTTCCTTCAAACTGGACCTCTCAGAAAAGGGGCAACTGCGACAAAACAACAAAACGAGACCAGCCCAGACCAAACTACCATGCTAATGCAGATTTTTAGGAGTGTGAAAATACAGATGTGCTGCAGGAAATGCTTGTTTTGCGGGGAAACGTCTTTGTAAAAATAAGAGCACAAGACCTTTGCAGCGGCAGAGCAAGGGCTGACAGAATCTTAGACCTTAGAGACAGGGGTTCCAGTAACTCTGGGCTTCCTTTTATTTTGAGAGGTGCCGAAGGATGGGCTAGAGCAGGCCAGACCATCTGGGGCTGACAGAGAAATTGCTGTGAATCGTCCAGAGAGCTCTGGCTATTGGGAGCACAGGAATGAAATAAATAAAATAATAAAGAAATCACATTCATGTAAACATTCCAGTGTTCCTTCCCCAGGCAAATAGCCCCCATATATGCCCAGTCGCCCCCTGAGATCGGCGGGGGAGGCCCTTCTCCGGGAGCCCCCCGTGAGAGAAATTAGGAGGGTGGCTACTCGGAGGAGGGCTTTCTCAGCGGTGGCGCCTAAGTTGTGGAATGCGCTCCCCAGAGAGGTCTGCCTGGTGCCGTTGTTATTTGTTTCTCGGCACCAGGCCAAGGCCTTTTTATTTAAGCAACATTTTAAATGTTAATACCACTGAATTTTATCTGGCCAGTGCGGCTTATTTTATATTGTGTGTTTTAAATTATTATGATTATTTATATGTATATTTTAACTTACTGGTTTTATTTATTGTTGTAAGCCGCCCCGAGGCTTCGGCGAATGGGGCAGCATAAAAATGTTTTAATAAATAAATAAATAAATAAATAAATAAAGGGGGCTGTATCACTAGAAATACATTTAATTATAATAGCAATCATCTTTTTAACCACTGGAAACACAAAATACATACAAAATACTTTCATCGTAAGACAGAACATGAGAACACCACGATGCAGATAAGAAAAAATGAAACATCTATCACGAAGAGGGAACAGTAAGCATTTTGAAACTGCAGATCGTTATTAACAATGAAAGGCTGATTGAAATAAAAAAGTTATTTAAAGCCTATTTTAAAGAAGCATGGGAGGGGGTTTCACAGAGAAGGGGCTACTGCTCAAAAGGCCCCTTTATTTATGTTTACGTAAGCCGTCCCGAGGTGTTAAGTGATGGGACAGCATATAAAAAGTCCAAATAAATAAATAAATAAATAACATGAACAAGGCCCGTGGGAGGGCCTTGGCGGCTGCCCTTGGGGCCCAGGTGTTCAGAGGTGCTTCACTAACCTGGCCCCAACCCATTCAGGACTTCTACAGGTAGCCACCAGTACCTGGGCCCAGTATAGCTGGTACAGAAGGGGTGCTGCCCCCCCCACTGCAGTCCTGCCCCCACGAAGTCATCACTCACTTGGCATAGGCTTTCTCCAGTAAAGGCATCCAGAATTCGTTCTCCTGAGCTGAATGCACGAAGAGCAGCTTGCCATCCAGAGTGGGGAGGCGGTCGTTCACCACCACGTCCACCCACTGCCCAAAATGCCAGAACTGGGGAGGAAGGAGGAACAAACGGGCCGGGGGTGAAAATGAGGAGGGGGCAGGACTGAGCCAGGAACCGGCACACGTGTGTGGACATTTCAGGTGATGGCAGCTGGCACCCACTCCAGTTCCACGCGGAACTCTTCAGGGAGTCCTCCACGGGTCTGAAACTGCGGCAGGCTAGGGCTCAGCACCATGGACAACACCTTGAAAGCTCAGGCTGAAATCCGGAGTGGCTACACAGCTCACTCGACACAAAGCCACAACCCTCCGCAGCTGGTTTGAAAATGCCCTGTGGGGTACAGTCACCCCATTTTATACCACCTGTAGCCAAAGCTCTCCAGGTGGGTCACAACATTTAAGCCACCCATCCACATTTCAACCAGGCCTAGCCCTGCTTAGCTTCCAAGATACCTTCAGAGATGGACAAACCAAGATTCTCCAAACATGAGCACCTTCCTCTCTCTCCTCATCGTGCGCTTGCAATCGCAATCAGAAATCATTTTGCACGAACAGAGAAAATAGGGCAACGTTTAGCCTAAAGCCCAGGTGATTTTAAACGGGGTGCATTTTGGAAAATTCCAGAAAACTAAATGGGGAAATTTACATGGACTGAGCGTGGGCATGTTAGAGGATTTGTGATTCTTCCTCTTCCTCCTCTTCTTCGGTGGAACAGCGGTGACTAGGGTGGCGTGCAAATTTCTCATCATTCCCACTTCCTGCCTGGACGGTCTGCTTCTGTGCCTGAGTCTGAGCAGAAAGGGATTCTGTGATTCACATGAACCAGGTGATGCTCAGTCAATAAACAGGGGCACGTGAGCAGCCGCCGTGCAGACAGAACACTGGACTAGGCACTTCTTGGGTCGGATAATCCATTTCTGCCTGTTCGCTCTGAGTGGGACAGACTGGCTAGCAAGTACCACTGTACCTTTCGTAGCTTTCCTACAATAACTGCCATTCACTGGGGAAGTTCTTCTGCTCTTTCCTAAGCTAGCGTCTCCCATTCCTCTGTTCTCCCCTTCATGGAAAAGAATTTGGACTCTAAGCTTCTCAGGGCAAAGTCCTGCATTTGGTTTATGCTAAAAAAAGGTGGCCTATCAGTGAATGAAAATGCCTCGTTTCTATCAAGTAAGAAATTATACAGTCTTTTAATCATTTTCTCATTTTCTCATCTGATTTAAGCATCACTTGATCAACTGCTGTTAAATCCTTATAAAAGCCCCACGTTTTGTAGTCTTTAGCATATCTCGATTGTATCTGCACCTTATGCCACCAAGAGATATTAGATCCTGTTCTTGCGTTTCTCGACTCAATTTCAATCCCCCATCCTTATCCAGAATGTCATCATATCTTATGATCTCTTCAAAATTCAATGCATTTGGATATACAAAAGCTTCCATGGGTGAAAGCCATCTTGGCAATTTATTATACAGTTTTGTCTTTAACTTTTCCCACACCGACATTAATGATTTTCTAATATAGTGACTTAGAAAAGAGCCATGTAGCTTAGCCTTTTCATATCACATATAAGCATGCCAACCCATTTGCAAATCATGCCCTTCAAGATACAAGATTCTCTTATTTCTTAAAGTTATCCATTCTTTTAGCCACGTTAAGACAGAAGCTTGATAATACAACATCCAATCAGGGAGACCAAAGCCCCCCATTCTCTTTAGCCTCCTGAAGTATTTTTAGATTAATCCTTGGTTTCTTCTTTCTCCATATAAATCTTGAAATTTGAAAATTTAAATCATCAAAAAATTTCCTATCAATTTTTATGGGAATCGTTTGGAATAAAAACAAAAGCTTTGGCAATATATTCATTTTAACTAGTGCTATTTGAAAATGTACTGTTTCTATTAGGCCAACATTCCACCACTACAGACCTTCTGCTAAAATTACAGTAGGAAAGAGCATCAGTTTTGCTGCCACAGGCTGGTGCTGAGAAACGCAAATGTCAAGGCAAACTTGAAAAGCCCAGTTTGCCTCTTGAGGAGTAAAGCTGCTGTGAAGAGGAACTAAAGAGCCTCTTGATGTGTGTGAAGGAGGAGAGTGCAAAAGTTGGCTTGAAACTCAACATTAAGAAAACTAAGACCATGGCATCCGGTCCTCTCTCTTCCTGGCAAATAGATGGGGAAGAAATGGAGGTAGTGACAGATTTTCTTTTCCTGGGCTCCAAGATCACTGCAGATGGGGACTGCAGTCAAGAAATTAAAAGATGCTTGCTCCTTTTAGGAAAGCTATGGCAGACCTAGACAGCATACTAAAAAGCAGAGACATCGCCCTGCCAACAAAAGTGCATATAGTCAAGGCTATGGTTTTCCCAGTCGCAATGTATGGCTGTGAAAGCTGGACCATAAGGAAGGCTGAGCGTCGAAGGATTGAGGGCTTTGGATTGTGGTGCTGGAGGAGACTCCTGCGAGTCCCCTGGATAGCAAGGCGATCAAACCGGTCAGTCCTAGAGGAGATCAACCCTGACTGCTCTTTAGAAGGCCAGATACTGAAGATGAAACTCTAATACTTTGACCACCTAAAGAGAAGGAAGGACTCCCTGGAGAAGAGCCTGATGCTGGGAACAATAGATGGCAAAAGAAGAAGGGGACGGCAGAGGATGAGGTGGCTGGATGGGGTCACTGAAGCGGTTGGTGTGGGCTTGGGTGGACTCCAGGGGATGGTGGAGGACAGGAAGGGGAGGAATGTTGTCCGTGGGGTCGCGATGGGTTGGACACGACTTCGCGACTAACAGCACCAGCAAGACCTACCTGGAAATGGAAGATGCCGGCATAATCCTTCCCTTGAAAGCCTTGGTCCTTAGGGACCACCTTGCGCAGGATCCCTGGGTACAAAGTGAGAGCGGCAGCCGCTGCCACAAACCAGCAGTTCCCTGCCACAGTTGGAAGAAAGGATGTGGGTTATTCTGGCGCCCTTTCAAAAGGCGACTGCTGCCACCCGCTCCCACCTCTGGTGGACACAGGCCATGACCCTGTCAGGCCATTTCTCAAGCAAAATGGGAAATGACTCCTTCGCCACTAAAGATCCTTTGCATTTTCGGTTCCTGGAGAGGCTGCCTTCTGCAGGCTGTCAAGATAATCTCAACGGCGGCCAGAGCAGGGAATGGATTTGGGACCTCAGCTGGGGGCTAGTCCACAGTGAGTACCTGCTGACCCTTGTTCTCTAGCCCTGCTAATAAATATATATGTCTTGTAACTGTGCACACACAGTCACAGAAAATGCTAGCTGGTCACCAGTAAGCTTCCCGTGGTGCCTAGGGGGCATTTGGAAGGGGCTGCTCCGAGCTATCACAATTTGGGTTGTGATAGCCCGTTTTACAGCCGGCTTTTGCGGTCTCTGAAAGAAAAACAAAGCGGGCCAGGGGGAATCAGCGGTGAACATGAAATGGCTCGCACAACAGAGTGTGTGTGTGTGTGTGTGTGTGTGGGTGGGGCGGTGCCCTCGAGGGTGGTTGGCACTGATGCTTCACTGGTGCTGGTACACCTGTGAAAAGACATCAAGAGTTTCTGCCGCCGCCGCCGCCAGAGAACTCTGCAGCCAATTCACTGTACCCATGATGGAACCAGTCCTGCAGATTCAGACAGCAGCACGACTCTCATGGGAACAGCAACCCCTACACACAATTCGGCTTGGGGAAATGGAGGCAGGCTCACAAGCGAACCTGGTCAAAGTCTTCTCTTGCTTTTATTCGAAGTTACATATTCATGCCTGCAGGGGCACCCCCACCTGGCCTGAAACTTCACTCCTGCACCACCCATTTGGCTTGGCTCTTGGACTGAACTGTGGACTTTTGAGGAGAGAACATGCCACCCCATACTCTCCGCACCGCTCCTGGAAGGAGGCAGTGTGGCAAGAAAAGCCAGCTCCAAGGGACCGATCCCATCAAGGAAGCCAAGCCTCGAGTGCCCAAGGGGTGAGCAAGGCGGTTTGGAGGGTGGCTATTCAGGGGTCTCTGTAAGCTGCAGTGTGACGCCATCAAGTCAGGAAAGAATCGAAAGGGAAGCGGAGCAGATGGTCATCTTACCCAGGGACCCCTGTCTGACATCGCTCACGTTCATGCCATCCTGAGATATAAACACGGGATTCTGGCAGATTTCCTGCGGAGAAAATGCAGAACATCACTGTGCTGAAGTGTTTCAAATGCTTGACCGGTCTCTGGAGATCTGAGTTCAAGTTCCCAGTGGGCTGTGACGCTCACTGTGTAAGTTTGGCCAACTCTTAGCCTAGCCTACCTTACAAGGGTGTTGTGAGGTTAAAATGAGGATGAGTAGGATTGTGGAAACCTGGGGTTCTCTTTACAAAATAAAGGTAAGGTAGACATGGAAGGAAGGAAGGTAGACTTAATTTAACCTTTAGGTGTAGGTACCTAAATCCCCTCTTCGCATCTATTCAGGTAGAATTAAGAATAAAGGTGACTTGTTAAGAAGTGTTCCAATTTATTGCTTTCTTGCCTTCCTAGAGCCATGGTCATTTTATTTGCATAACAATCCTGCACATTAGGTAGCTGTTGGCTACCCTGAAGCTACCTGTTGCAGCTTCAGGGTCTGAGCCAGGGCACCCCATCAGATCTTTGGGATGTGAGCCAGGGAATCTCAAACGCTACTGCTGAAGAGCAACCCAGATGCAAACAAGAATCCCATCGTCTCCGCTCACCTTTGGTCTCTTCCAAACCACCTCCTTCTTGTCGTTCTTCCCTTTTAGCTGATCATAACTCACTGGCCAGAGTTTGAATTTGGGGTCGGTGAAGAGGCCCGTCTGAAAGCAGTTTCTTTTCAATTCAGCATAGTTTTGCTGAAGGTATTGCAGGACTTCAGCAGTTGCACCAACATCTGAGTCTTTAGTGAGGCAAATCCTGATACCAGAAGGCGTCATGGTTGAGTCGAGCTGTGGCTGTACCAAACTCTGGGGTTAATTTATACTGTGCAGGGAGAAGTTTTTGTTTGCTCATGGAATGATGGCCACTTCCTCTTTTGGCCAAGGCCACGTGAGTGGGTTTTGCACGATTCCTTTCCCGAGAACAATCCACTCACCGTGGCTTACTTGCAAAGTGGCTTCGTGTGGCGTAAGAAATGACACACGAACAGATATTTCAGCTTATGCGGATTCAGAAGAAGAATGCAGTGGTGGTTATTGTTACTCAGGTTATTTCTTAAGAAACACAGACTAGGCATTTTTCCTCTTTTCTCAGGAGACCATCTTGCTGGAACAGTGAAGAGGGAGACAAGTGGAATTGTGTGTGGAATGCAATCGAGGGAAGGTCGTCTGGTGGATTTTCCAAGCTCAGCCTGGTGGTTTCCATTCTGACAACCTGTCTGCCTTTTTGTTTTTCAACGTTTTAAAAAAGTATCTTTGGAGCCTCAAAAAAGCAAAGTGACAACCGGTTAGGTGTGGGCTTCCCCGAAGTTGTTGCAGCTTCAGGGTTTGAACCAGGACATCCTGCTTTGGCTTTGGATTGGGCTTCCACGAGAGGTCGTTGAGGCCCCATCGGTGTGGGTGTTCAAGGATAGGCTGGACGTCCACATGGTGGGCATGTCGTGAGCGGAGCCAGCTGGTGCCGGAGGTCAGACTAGATGGTCCGGGAGGCCCCTTCTGACTCGCTCTGTTTCTATGTTTCTATTATAAGCAGGAGATAGAATGGCACTGCTCAAGAGCAACCCAGATGCAAACAAGAATATTTATTCTCAACTCACCCAAACCACCTCTTCCTTCTTGCTCATCTCCTTTAGGTGATCGTAAGTCACTGGCCAGAGCTTGACAGAAACACTCTCTGCAAGCTCAGACATTCATTCTGGGTGATTAGTGCTTTGGGATCTGTAAAGAATGCTTTGCAAAGAGAACAGTCGGCAGAAAGAGGAAACCTCAGCTCAGAACAACCACCGCCTCCCATGTCTTTGCCCATGGCCTTCCACGCACAATCATATCCAGCTTGTGACCCTAATCCTCACTTAGCTGGTGGGAACCTTCTTTTCAATCCACACAGACTGTAGAAGAAAATACAAAGTGTTTCAAATGTTCTTTGGTGTTTTATGTACAAGGAAATAAAATCAGCACCACATTCCAAATCACGAATCCCTTTCCTTATGCTTCATAGCCCAAAATATGCATTCTTGTCTTTTAGGGATGCGCAACACTGGAAAACTTGCTCTGTTTGAACTTGATGGACTTTTGACACGTTCCCCACCTGAAGGTGAAAAGTGGGCTGAGTTAGTGGGGAGTAGGGGGCTTGGCTTCTACAAAATTGCTCCGGATGTGTGCAGATGTGGAGCCAAGAACCACACAGATCTAGCATAGCTTGGCAAATCAGGATTTGCCTAAATCAGGATGAAACGAATCATTGTCGTTCAAGTCATTGTTGATGCGTCCAGCATGAGAGGCATGCAGTCTCATACGCTCCAACTTGGCCACCTTGAACTTCCTGATAGTTAATATCAGAATTGTGCCAAATCCAGGCCTCTGCCCAGCTATTTGCACAGATTAGCTCAAGTGTACACCATTTATGCAACTGGGCAGAGCAGAGGTCTGTATTTTGTAGAAATTACTACGGTTTAAAAGGGGACATTTTGTCAATCATGGTGCAATGTAAAACGAAGTCTACATGCAGGTCCCATTGGGTTTTCATTTCTCTATCGCAACCCCACTCAGACATGGCGACTTGTCGTCCAATTCATTTTGAGAGTTCGGAGAACTAAGAAAGTTAGCTAGTCTCTCACATGAAAAGCAACTTACGCAAGACTATTGCATAAACAAGCACTTGTTTTCTTATGAATTATCATTTTTTCTTATGAATTAATATCAGTAGATACATCTCTTGGTGGGTCATATTCATTTGACATCATCAGCCACTCAGCATGTAAGCTACGGTGACTTCATTTTGTGGTGAAGAACCCAAAATGTGCCGGGAAAATGACCACACTTCCCACAAGCGATTCTCCACGCTTTCCCCTCAGCGCCCTAGCGAGGTCCGACATACATCCCCGTGTTCTCCTGGACAAAACCGGGCTCCTTTCCCACTCCCCACTCGATTGGCTGCCCCCTTTTTGTTTGAAAGCATTAAAAAATATATATACTTTCAGATCCTCAAAAAAGCAAAATTCTAGCCAGTTTGGGTGTTCATTTCCCCCCTGAAAATTATATAATTTCGTGAGGGGGTTCTCTTTGTTTTGTGAGTCTTATGGAAGGGTGCAAGACCGCTGCTCCATCTTGCCCGTATCCCTAGACTTGACTTGTCCATTTCCTGGCCTGTTTTGGCTGTCCGTAGGTGCGGAGGAGGAAGGAGGCGCCACACTGCAACACTGACAAGGTCAGACTCCATATAGGCTCCTTTCTTCGCAGCTGCCAGAGTCTTTTTCCTAAACTGTGGATTGAAAGGCACCAGGAGAGAAGGGGGAAATGCATCACAAAGGGAGACCAGTCTCTCCCCTTGTCGAGTCATCATTGTCTGAACATTAATTGTCGAACAGTCTGTTCTTAGTGCCATCCTTCTTTTCAACACCTCTCCAAGTCACCAGCTTCTCCAGAATGTGTGATATCAATACCCCCCACTCTCCAGCTTCTTTCCAGAGCACAAGCTGCTGTAGTTACTTCCCTGACCCTTCTAGAAACCCCCAAAATATGGCTGGGAAGTGAGTCAAGACAGATGAATTGCTCCTCTTTTCCTGCTCTTTGCACTCAACATCCTGCCTTCCAACTGCACACTGATCGCATGCTAGTCTCTTCCACGGACGGCAACTCCACGGTATCCCGAGGAGCCAAGCGGGCTTACACAGCCGGATGCAAAGTCGGGCTTCAGCTGCATCACCAACTGTTTCCAATGGAAAATCCCCCAGAGCATTCAGAAATCCAAGGGGGCCATCGCTTTCCAGGGCCAGAATTTCCTGCTCTTGGACTTGCCCAGTCTGGGTCTCTGCAAAAAGACCAGAGTCTAAGGAGCCAAACCCAGGGAATCTGATGGTTTGCCAGCCCCAGACCAGCTCCTCAAACACCCCCAAGCAATATTACTTTTTAATAACTGGATTTAATCATGATTGGGTTGAACAATTACTCTACTTGAGCCAAGTGCTCCATCACATTAAAATGAAAGTCATTTTGAGTGGGATGGTGTAACAGGGTGTCCTGCAGCAGCAGGGGGCTGGACCCGATGGCCTTCATGGCCTCTTCCAACTCTTCTATTCTATGATTCTATAGAATAAAAGATGCAAAGAGAGGGGACTCAGTCTCCACAGTTCCTCAGACTTTTCTGAAAACATCTGATCTGCATTTTCCACGTGATTTCTTTGCCTTGGTGCTATCTTCTCTGAACTGCAGGACACTTTCTGGCTGAACTTCCAGCATCATGGTTTCGAGTGAAATATTTTGGACACCTTTCAGTTTCTTCTCTTGACAGGTTCCTTATTTTTTAGGGGCTTTCTCTTCTGAAACCAAAAAAAGGCTGTACCAAGGTTCCTTGCCAGCTTTCTACTTAAACCTCTGCTAGTCCGACCGCTTTGATTTCCAGGTTTTATTTTGAGAGCACACAACTCACAGTAGGTTCCAGGATTACGATTCAGGCCCAGGTGACCTTGCCCTGCCCTTGGCTTATTTCTGTGCTCACTGTTCTAGGCCACAGTCGTTTAGGTAGAAACTAACTTCTATGCTGTGTATCGGTTTCCAAACGTAATACCCAAAAAATGGAAAGTCTCCAAAACAACCAGAAACCGAGCAACAAAAAATGCCAGCAAAAGAACAAAGCACCAAAATTGGTGCAGCGGGGCTCCCAGCCGGCTCCCGCCAAGCCATCTCTCCCCTCCCTGGCCCCTCTGACAGCACCAGTGCAATCCTGTGAACGCAGTGCCAACTGAGGAAGAGGCGGTGGGGCGCAGCAGCCCCCCGCCTGTCTGCGGTGAGTGCGATGCGGCCCCCATGCAGACTGGACTGGCGCCAGTCTGTGGGCCGGTGGTTGAAAGCCTCTGGTGAAGGTGACTTGTGTCTCCCTTGAGTCTCCCACGGGCTGCGCTTAGCCAGAAGGTGAAAGGAATGCTGGGTAGACAGACCCTCGCCTGATCCCTCAGGACTCTTCCTACCTCAGTAAAGGTGGGTCCTTCCACAGGTATGGAACCAATGGCATGCTGGGACAACCCCATGGGTGCTGTGTGGGCCTCCCCAGAAATCATGGCCTGCGCGTGGATGTGGAGTCCTCCAGGATCTGCTGGGGCAAGAAAATAGAAAAAACACGGAAGGGAAATGGAATATTTTGAAACGGAGCACGGCTAACTGGTTGGTTCACAGCGCACTATTTTGTTTATTTATTAGATTTATATCCCGCTTTTTCTTTACAACAAATTCAAAGTGGCTTACATCTCTCTCCTCCTCTCGCTCTTCATTGTATCCCCACAGCAACCCTGTGAGGTAGGCTGGGTGGAGAGTCTGTGACTGGCCCAAAGCCATCCAGTTGCCTCCAGGGCTGAGCAGGACTCGAACCCGGACCGCCTGAGTGCCAGTCCCGCCCTCTCTCATTGTTTTACTTTGTGGTGGTTCAGCCTTGCTCTGTTGCTTGTCTTACAGAGCAATGATGAAGAAGACCAGCCTTATACATCCAACCATACAAGTGAGATCAGGTAGAACACCGTCATAATTCAATAATTATGACCTGCAATAAAAATAAAAATGCCATCATAATTCACACCATTGCGGGAGTGCAGTGCCGAATTTTATTTGCATCAGCCACACGCCATTCTAATTAATATACAAACGACATCATGCAATTAAACACAGACAATTGCCAAAGGAGTAAAATGGGTCTAATGTGTGGTGCACACAAACATTAACGTCAAATATCTCACCAGACGCCCACTGCTGTCTCTGGACTAGATTCTGAAAAGTTTGCGAATCACCGA